AATACCTGTCAGGAGGATGTCTGTAGTACAGATTCTGGTTGTGTCTTCTGAGCTGAGACAGCCGCGGCAGAGATGGGCATCAGAGCGCTGGGTCAGCAGGGGCTGTGTTCACTTCTCATGCTTTCGTAGCACATCAGAGCGCTGTGGAGTGATTATATACAGCCTTGGGGAAAGGATCATTTAACGTTGCTCAATGAACATAAGGGGAGAACATTGACTACAGTATGTAAAAACATATCTGCTTTCAAAACAATTTTTTTAAAGATATTACCATTTTATTTTTTCAGTTTTAGACTTAAATTCCACAGTAGGATGCCCAGGTCCGGGTAGAATAACCGAAATAGCAAGGCCATACTGCTTGAGGCAGAATCTGGCTGGAGGGTTTGCCTTGTCTGTTTTGTGCTTTTGAAACATAAACGTTTGCACTGCAGACTTCAAAGGGGAGGACATTGAAATCAGATTGATTGAAATACTCCAGCTTGAGAAATTTTTCCATTTCCTCTTCACCCCATGATACACATTTACATACACTTCTTTCAGTTGATAAATCCAGGGCAGCAGGCCTCATTCTGGAAAGGAATGCCGATCTTGCCTTTTCCCACCTGGAATCTTTAGTTATCTGGTACAGACAGCATTATGAGGTTTGGCTATGTCTCGAGTGCTGACATGTCACAATAAACAAAATATAGTGAAAGATCAGAATAGCACCATAGGACAGCAGCTGAATGTAGAACTATTTTGAATAAGTTAACTTTAGTGAGATATAATTTACAAACGATAAAATGCACAGATTTTATGTGTGCATTTTGAAGAGTTTTGAAAACTGTGTGTTCTATATAACCACCACCTTTGTAGTCAGGCCTGCCCCCTGCTCCCTCGCAGACAGTTCCAGGTCTGGTTTCTCTGCCTGTTGTCAAACTTCATAGAAATGGAAGCATTCCACATGAGTTCTTTTGTGTCTGCCCTCTTTGGCTCAACATGATTTCTGCTTGATTGATGCATGTTCTGTGTGTATAAACAGTTTATCACTTTTTATTGGTGACTAGCATTCCTTTTGTGCATGTACCACACTTGTTTGTGAGTAGATATTCTCTTCTTGGACACTGGGGTTTTCAGGTTTTGGCTGTTATTGAATAAAACTGCAAGGAACACTTGTTGACACAGCTTTGTATTTGCATCTCCTATGGGTGGAATTACACGGACCAGGCACATGTTTACATTTATAATAAAGGAGCAGAACATTTTCTAAAGTGATTGTTGCCAGTGACATCGTATGACTGTTCTGAAAGTTCCACAGCCTCACCAAGAATTCCTGCTGTCCTGTCACTTAATTTAGGTCATGTGAGCGGGTGTGTAGTAGTGTTTCATTCTGGTTTATCTAATGAATGGTGATGGTGAGAATTTTTTCATTTTCACGTTGACCATTCATGAAATTTCTTTTGTCAAAGAGTCTATCAAATCTTTTGCCCATTATTTACTGAATTGTCAAGTCTTCTGTCAGATAAATGCATTATAAATGTGGCTTGCTTTTCCTGTTTATTAATGATGATTTTGAAGAACAGAAGTTTTTGATTATGATAAAAATTGAATTTATCAGTTTATTTTCTATGAGTAGGACTCTCTGTATGTTAAGAAATCCTTGAATATCCCAATATCATGAAGATATTTTCTGAAGTTTTCTTCTTGAGTTTGATAGTTTTAGCTTTTATGTTTGGGTCTATGGTCCATTTCAAATTAATTTGTATGTGGGATGTGAGCTGGAGGTCAGCTGGTTCATTGTTTTACATGTGGATATCCAGCTGATCCAGCACCATTTGTTGAAAAGACTGCCTTTTCTCCATTGGATGTCCTTGTCCTATTTGTTGACAATCACTTGACCATGTATATCTGAGTCAATTCATGTACACTATCCTGTTCCAAAAATATATTTGCTTATTGTTAAGCCAATACAACACTGCCTTAATAACTGTGGCTTTGTAGTAATTGTAGAAATCAGATAGAATAGGTTCTCCAACGTTGCTCATTTTTATTTTCAAAATTGTTGTTCCATCAGGTAATATTTAACATTCAGCCTGAAATACTCGCTGTAGTATTTCTTGTAGTGCAAATCTGTGGGTGATTACTTTCTCGGTTTTTGTCTATCTGAAAATTCCTTTATTTTACCCCTTTTTGAAGGATATGTTTGGGAGATATAAAATTCTAAGTTGACAATTTTTTTCTCTAAGTACTTTAAACATGTCATTTTATTGTCTTCTTGCCTCCACTATTTCTGATGGGAAGTTGGCCAACATTACTATCACGGTTCCTATATGTGTAATCTGTTGTATTTCTCCGCCTGCTTCCAAGATTTTTTCCTTTGTCTTCCATTTTCAGTCGTTTGACTACGATTTACCTAGTTTTGACTTTTTTTTGTATCAATTATACTTGGGTCTTGATGTTTTTCTTAAGCTTACAAATTGGCATCTTTGGCCAAAATGCAAAGTTTTTTTGACATTCCTTCAACTTTTGTTTCATTTGATCACTATTCCTGGTCCACTCTCTCTCTCTTCTCCTTCTGGAGTCCAAATACATGTGTATTAGGCTAGTTGATATTATCTCACAAGTACCTGAGGCTCTGGTCATTTTTTTAAATCTTATTATATATTTTATATATATATATATTATATATATTTAAATTTTATTATATGTACTTTAGATCAATAATCTGAATGAATCCATTTTCATTCTCATTTGCCCGTGTTTCTGCCAGTTCTATCTGTTATGAAGCCCATTCAGAAACTTTTCAAATTTCAGATAGTTTGCTTCTCAGCCCTAGAACTTCCATTTGTTTCTCTTTTATTATTTCTATTTCACTGCTGAGATTCCCTATCTGTTCACTCATCAAGACCGTTTTTTATGTCCTTTGACACATCTTAATAGCTACTTTAAAGTCCTTGTCTGCTAATTATAATATCTGAGTCATCTCAGGGTCTCATTCTATTGACTGCTTTTTAAAAAATGGAGTATGGCTCAGTTTTTCACATTCACCTGCTTATTTTCATGTCTAATAAGTTTTTATTCTGTGTTTGACATTGAGTGATTTGGTGTAGAGAGTCAAGAGTAATTGTCTTCCTTTAGAAAGGGTAGAGTTTATTCTATCCATTAATTACTGGTAGTTTTGTTTAACCTTGTCATGGCTTGATTTTAGCCTTTTTTTAGGGCTGGTCTAGAGTAGCCCTTACTCTGGGGCTTGGTTCTTACTCCAAAATTGTGGCCTTTTTGGCAATGCAGTCAAATTCTCAAGGTCTTATTAAGATCTCTCCACTCTCTTCTCCCAGTAACGTGTGACCTCCAGTATCTTTGTTTTACTCTCAGCTGTCTATCAGCTGCTCTCCGCTTGGCTTCACCAAGTCTCATCTTACACACATGCAATCTCGCCCTTGACCAGGGTCTTGTGAATAACTGCCACAGACTTCTGGGCCCCTCCTGTGTAGCTCTTCTCCAGTACTCTGTCCTCCAGTTCCCAGTCTGTGTTCCTCAACACGACATGCTTGCTTCACGTTTCTCCTCCCTGTGCTGCTGTCAGGAAACTCTCCAGGCTGACACTCAGGGCTCGTCTGCGTGTACTTAGGGATTACATTTCTGTTCTGCCTTTTGTCCAGTGTCTAAAAACAGTCACTTCATATATTTTGTCTAGTTTTATAGTTATTATCGTGAAAGGACACTCTGTCGTATCCAGAAGCCTAAATCTGGTAGAAATATTCTTTGGAAAGTTATTTCTATGATCACTGGTTCTCAAACTTTAGCATGTATCCTATTCATCTGGAGGACTTGTTCACACACAGGTTGTTAGGCCCTGCCCTTTAGCATTTCTGATTCAGTAGGATTGAGTTGGGACCCAAGAACGTGCATTTCTAACATGTGTGCAGGTGATACTGATGCTGCAGGTCTGAGAACCACACTCGCTTAGAAAGATGGATCTTGAGAAAAAATATTGAGACTTTATTTGGAACTTAGTACACACAATTTAGTTTTTATTTGGCTTATTATGCCCTGCATAATAAACTTATAGTTCACTTGGGTTTTTATAATGCTAGACATTTTGCTCTTTTTATTCAAAGTATGAATTTTAAAAAATTATGAGTTTAACATTGAAAAGGAAAGATTCTTCTTTTAATTGATAGAAGTAGAAAGTAGGTTATATAATAATGAAATATTGTCATTCTTATTTTTTTGTCTGCACAAATAAATTTGATTCTTTCATCCTGATATGAATCTTCTAAGAGATTTGATTAGTTTCAGAAATAAGTATTTGATTTTTGTTTCAGAATTTGGGCTTTATTTTAACTTTTCTCAGGCCTGTATGTATATATGTGTTGTGTGTGTGTCAATGTGTGTGTGTGTTAGTTAAGATGCAGAACAGTGAGAACCAGGAGTCCTGCTGGCTTCCTCAGATTTCCTGACAGCTCGCACTTTGTCCTCTGATAGCTACTAAGACAGCTGTAATCTGGTAATCTGTGCTAACCTTGTAGCACAGTTTGTCTGCTCTCTTTGCTTCCATTGTCCCAATGGCTCCATTTCCCCACGTTTTTCAGGATTTTGAAATTTATTCCTTCCTTTTTCTCTAACTCGTGCATTTTGCATCAGTATAAGGCTTGTACTAATATCAAATTGGTGACTTATGATGCTGACACGGTTCCTACACTGGCTCCCAGGACAGGACATACCCTGTCAACCATGTCACGGTATTTCTTAGTTGGAAAAGTGGATTGGTCTCATCCCTTCCAAGTCCCATCGTTCCCTGACAGATTGATTTACCAGCTTCTTTAATTTCTTGGAAAAATCAGTACAATAGCCTTTGGTGGCTAGATTGGAAGGCTGTTTGATAACACATTTTAAATATTGTTTCAGCTATAAAGTGCAATTAATAAAATTCCAATCTCAATTTTAGAAATCTGTTTTCCAATATTTTGATACAAGGATAGTGAAATACTAATTACTAACCGCTGATTATTCAACAGGTTCATTTTGATGGCTGGGACCACAGATGTGACTGTTGAATGGATGCCGAAAGCCCTGACATTCACCCAGTTGGATGGTGTGACGTCACAGGGTACCCACTGGCAGCGCCATGTCGTGAGTATTTTACACTTTATTGTTGTTTTTTAAATACTTAGCCTGAATTCCTACTTTTTTTATGCTGCATTTTCATGTCGTTATAAGTATTTGAAAGCTAAATATCAGATAGGTGAATTGATTAACCACCCCTACAGCTGCACTGAAAGCCAATTATTTACAATTAAGCCTCAAAGGGCATGCTTCATATAAATGAAAAGTTATTATCATTAAGAAGTTATTTTGATAGTGTTGTCTAACAGAATCTTCACTTTTTACATTTTAGTTTGGAAAACAGAGTGAGGTCTAAATCTATATCTAATTTGGCCTTGCGTTTAGCTGAAATATTCTTCTTTTAAATATCCCATCTTAATTTTGTTTTATAGAGTAGATTGCAAAATGTTTTTCAAAAAACAAATATTTTAAATTTCAGCAATTGAAAAAAAAACTTTTTAGTTGTAAAAATTTTTAAAACCCTATATTTTATTGGTAGCTTAATTATTTCTGTCTTTCTAGCTACTTTAAGTTAAGGAGGAAATTAACCACTCTAAATTCTAATGAACCTCAAACCAAAATGTCCTTTTAAGGGCTCCTCTGATCAGTTTAGGCTGCATGACTGATAACTGGTTCCAAACACATGTGCAAGCACTATCCGTTCCTGTGTGTGTTCTGTTCCCTCACTGCTTCTGTTGCCCCCACTTTGGCTTCTTGGGATGACGCCAGCATGTTATTCTGTCAGTGAGGATGTCTTGCATTGAGCCAGCCCAACGATGCTTGAAACTTAGATCTGAAAGGACTAGCTGCATCTTTGAAAGAATTCCTTCGCTTCTTGTAGAAGTGAGGAGAATCCCTGACTTAATAACTCGATGAACATTTTTACATTGTGCTGAGTTCTTCAGAACTACAAGATCAATAACGTGCAGGTCCTTGTGAAGCTTACAGTGCGTTGGCAAGCACAGGGTCTGTGCACAGAGAATGTAAAGCAGGGAGACCATGGTCAGTCCCATGGCAGGAGAAAAGCGTGAGCGTTTGTGCTCTGTGGTTTTCTTTGATCCCGCCTTTTATTCTCCCCAATTTCACACCCCAGCATGCCGGGGAAGTAGTTCTCACTCTATGTTAACCACCTCCTCCCTCCCCGCACACACATCGGCCCCTCATCCCAGGGACTGTCTCAGGCAGGAATGGCCTCAGTGGAGCTGGCGATGGATCAGCATTTCAGGCACAGGGACAGCACTGCTCTTCACTCCACCTCCTCCATTTCCTGTTCCTTTGTCAAGCTACTGCCTGCCTTCCGATCTGAATGCCTCACTTGTACCCTGAGCCTGTGAACCAAACCTGAACTCCACCCATCGCAAGCCAAGCTTGCTTCTCTACTGTAGTTCCCACTCGCTGCCAAAGCCCCTTCTTCTCATGCAGCATCATTCTAGGCTCCACTCCCTCCTTACTGTTTCCTCCCCCACAGATAGGACCAGTCACCAAGTCTTGGTGGCTTCTCTTTCTTAATTTCTCCAGAATCCACCTTTGACCCCCTTTCCCCCTCCCAATGTCATTGTGCTATTTGAGCTCTCATTGTAGTTCCAAATGATTCACAGGATATGGTCTTCAGTATGCTAGTGAGTTGCACAGAGCCTCCTGATGAGCCTACAATGGATCTAAAAAGTTCAAGTTCTAGAGGAACATTGCCTAGTGGTTAAACATGTGAAATCTGTAGTCAGAATACTTTGATTTGAATCTCAGTTTTACTGCTTGCTTAGCTGTGTGACTCTGTGGCTGTTTCCTCGTCTATAAAGTGGAGATATTATTAGTGTCTATTTCATAAATGTATAATAATGAAATGAGATAAATGTATGCATAACACCTCAAAAACTGCCTGACCCATAGTATGTGCTCAATTAATGTTAGCTATCAGGAAATGATGTAGCATTCTATAGATTTTCATGTTTGCATAAAACCATGTGAATTATTAAGGATTACAAAATTTGAAATTGTGCTAAAACTATTATATGACTAGAGTTTTCCAAATATTTTAATTCGATTTTTCTTCAGTTTGACTTCCATATGTTGGCAATATTATAAGATTTGTGTTTTGTGTACTCACACTTGGATAATTGGAATCCCTATCATTTGAGAGGAAAGATAATTTGTAATTGCCTGTCTTCAGTTGGTCATGATATTCTATTACTGTGTGCTTGCTCATTATAAACTCATTTGGATTAATCATTACTAATATGGCTTATTATAGGTTGCTTGTTTAACCTTATAGTTTATAATTATTCATATCTGCATCATTAGTCTTGTTAATTTTTAAATACCTAGACTGTAAGATATGCTTATGATATGGTTCTGTATTTATCATCCATGCCCCTATTGTGAAAGCAAAAATACACACGCTCACACATATATAATCCAAGATGCCCAGCTGGACTAGCCCTCCAAAATTTGTTGTGGTATTTATCTGTTAATTTATTTGTCACCGAATTCTTTTTCTGCTGGAAAGAAGAAAGAAATGATTGGTCTAGGTCCTCCAACGAAACAAAGTTTGACAGTCTGGCAGTGACTCTTGAAACAGCTTCACGACTGTCTTTTCTCATTTCTTGCCTGTAATAGTCTGTGTGAAACCCAAATATTGCCTCATTTTTTCCATTTTTAGAACTCTTCACTGTTACCCAGTATCTTACAGACTTGAGACTCCTTTGGGTGTACACAAGGCCCTTCCGAGTCTGTACTGTGCTCACCTCCATGCCTGACCCTTTCACCACTTTTCACCCGGGACCCTTCATTTATACCAAACAGAGTTACTCATAGTGCCTTGAATGTTGGCCTTCTAAGATTTTGAAGACAATACGTCACCTTTCTATAGCTGCCTCTATAGCTTAGCTTCCTTTCAGAAAATTCACACCCCTTGGCTGGTGTCAGACGCGTGTGTGATGAAGAGCTGGTGGGAGCACGCGCTCTGCACTGTCGTCACATGGAGTCCACTTTCTGGACTCCTGTCCTGTCTTTGACGGATGATATTTGTACAGCCAATCATGTCAAATCATCTTTTATTGCTAAGTGCTATTTTAAGTCAGAGGTTGATGTTATTTACTCGTATGGTTCAAACTAAACTTTTAATGTCCACTATCTTTGATAATCAGAGCAAAGGAATTACATCTTGTAAGTAGATCTATAAAACCCACACACAGTATTTTATCATATATGAACAGATGAAGTCATTTCATCAACATTAATTTGCATATATTTTAAGGTATTTTCAGATACTTTAACTTTCAGATATATTTTTCACACTATTGCTTTACTTTCGTTGTATTTGTATGACTCACGATTGCCTTCAGTACTTTTTACATAGAATATAATAGCTTTATTGATCATACATTGCAAAGACTACTCAAAGGTTACGGCTTGGAAAAAAATCTTGAAGATCATCTAATCGACGCTGTCATTTTATGGGGACAGAACTTGACTTGAACTTTATCTATTTTATTGATTTACCCTAGCGAATTTTTACAAAAGCTATCAGAGCAGGTTGCCTAGTATTGGTATTCTGTGAAAATAAAAGTGATCAAAAGAAAATATGAGGTTGACTGTTTTTTAATCTATTATTCTCATCTGTTTTCCTTTATGAAACTTTTTCCTTGACCCTTTTTCAATATATTTGTAACTCAGTATTATAATAAATGCCTTGGAAACAAAAGAAGGAAAAGTGTATATTTAATATATGAGTTTTTTCTTTCTTCAGTGACTTTCCAATTTATGCTTGAGGGAGCTGCAGTTTACAAATGTATGAAATAGAATAAAATGACACAGCTGCCTGAGTAAATGAATGAGTAAAAACTAAATGTTGATGCTAATATGGTTTTAATGAGTAAGCAGAAAACCACAGGGCTGGTCCAGCTGGGCCTCTTGGAATGGTGCTGAGCTGGGATCAGAAGAGCACAGGGGACCTGGACCAGTGGAGGGAGAGTGACGGCCTCTATGGAGATGGAAATGGCACAAGTGAAAACAAAATTAGAATTGATTGGTTCTCATACAAATTTTATTAGAAGTCATTAAAATGTTATGTTTTCCAAGATGAGTGGTAGTCCCTTTAGTTTGTTTTTATTTATCTAATGCTATTTAGTCAATATGTTTACACTCGTTGCAGAAATTGAGCCAATACATAGGACATGCTATAGATGCAAGCTTCTGCAGAAATGTGGGTGCAGTATATTTTGGTGAAGATCATGATATCCAATAATTCATAACATTCAGTCACTAAGGCCTCATATAAGTTCTTAAAAAGGTAACTGTGAAAAGCCTCCTGAGAGTGAGAACTTGAATGCTCCCACTCAACTGGGAAAGGAGCCCTCTTGCATGGCCCGCTGATGACAGTTCCTCCTAGCCACATCCCTACCGTGGCTGCTCCACTGCGGTTCACTCTGTATCCCACTTTCAGGTTAGACACTCCTTTTCTCATATCAGGAGAGCACAGTTTGTTTTATCTGATCTATAGTCCTTCTTGGTGGACTTTTTCTACACTTCGGATCAAAATTAAATACTTAAGATGTAGCATTACTAAGTTGTCAAGATCTTTTGTGTTGTGCTTTTGTCGATGCAAATAATCCATAACCAATCTATAAATCAAAATTGGGGTGAGTTTATTATGAGCCAGATCTGAGGACTAGCCTACCCCGGGGCCTTCCTTCTCTGAGGAAGGAAGGGCACCAAAGAAGTGGGGTGTACATAGTGGTTGTATACCTGGAATGAAGAGCATACATCACATATGATAGGAATGTCCCTTTTACAACAGTCATGGGATTGCCTAGCCGGCACGGCACAACTATTCACACAACAGGTGGTAGGTCTGCTGTCTCCATGGACACAGCAGGAAGCAGGTCTGTGGTCCAGAGTTGGGTGGTCACAGGTGAGCGCAGCAATCAGTTCCTAGCCTAGGGAGTGATGCTTATCCTTAAGGAAATGCCATGTGGGGGAAGTTGCATCTTTATCTTAAGGGCATTT